AGAAAAAGAGATTAAAGACTCAAAATCGATTTTATTACATTAATCATCCAAACCAAAGCCACAAACTATTACCAATTATTTTGGAAAAAAAATAGTCAATACTTCGAAATTTTCAAACTTCGATAGTGGTCATGATCATTGTTGGCCCAATATGTCTCCCCTAATGAACTCTCTAGAACCTCGAATTAGTTGACATTATGGACTATTAGTGATAGCCACGTGTACATTCATTGAGTCAACATCCACCATCCAGAGCCACAAATGTTTGGGTGGCTCTCATAGAACTTCTGAACTATTGTAACTTATTTGAGCTTAGCTCATAATTATCACCCATTATTTAAAAAATTAATGAGTTTTAAATAGTATTTTGAGGAGAATGTGTAGCTAAAAAAAGTAAAAAAAAATAAAAATTTATTGATCTGTGTGTAGGATATTTTTTACTGTGAGAATGTGTGCTAAAGAATGATACTATAACAGACAATTTTAAATTTTAAAGGTTGATAAACAGGCTCTTAATGTTCCATTTTAAAAGAATTTAAATATATTTTTAATTAAAAATTAAAAATTAATTTTAATCATATATTTATAATTCATACTCATTATTATCTACAAATTTCGTGAAACACGCAACAACCCGTCCTACTATTCATATTTATAAATCATTTATAAATTTGCTGAACGAAGATAAAATAGTTACAAATGAATGAGTATACACACACAAACACACATTAAACATCAAAAATATTTTTTCACCCCAGTCTTAACACATGATACCTTATTTTCGTTAATAAGTAATGATAAGATATGATTGCTTAATATTTACATGTGTAGATATCATAATATTAGCGATCTCGTCTAAAAATTTAATGCTAGCTACACCACAACTTATATTTAATGTGAGTGGAGTAATAAGACCACAACTATGTGACTTGACAGAGTCTTTAGTTGAAGTGAGCTCAGCACACAGCATTGCTTTTGCATGGATGGAGGAAAGTTCAAGCATGGAGAGGCTTCTTCAACAAGGGAGTACTATGAGGGGACTCCCTTTTGGCTGATTTGAAATCATTTATTTCACCTAATTTACATTATGATTTGTGAATATATGGTTGTGAATATGCAATAATAATATGCTATGTTATTTCATGATTATTTTCCCCTAAAAAAAAAAGAAAGATTGTTGAGAGTGAATCTATACGATCACACTGTTCCCAAAAAAGAAAAAATATTAAATTAATATGGCAGGCCAAGATGAAAAGTGCCATACCGAATGAATAAGTTAGGTTATAATTTATTTTTCTAAGAAGATATGTCTAGGACGTGGCATAACTAATATTTTTGTGGCAGCTCTTGTTGAATTTGTTAAACCTAATATTTTTGTAGGACCAAGCTCAACTTTGAGCAGTACCATGGTAACATCGACATCCACCAGTGATAACAAATACTATATTAGTTGCCCCCGAGACACATTCCAACTGGCAAAGGACGGATTACTTCAAGGCGGGCAGTTTAGCGGTCGCGGGTTCGATTCATGGGGCTCTTAGAAGGTAAGCTTTCTCCAGGAAGGCAAGACGTATATATGAGTTTGACTCGCTCGACACTTTGGCAATCTAGTTGGGAGGGCTCTTGGACCCTGGCCAGTTTGGGGCACATTCCGCGGTTTACCTGATTTGCGTGAAGAGAGGCTAGATAGTAGGCCCCAAAATTAGTCGCTGTAAGGCAGACACCTAGTTATCAAAAAAAAAAAAATACTATATTAGTTAAACCTTTAATAAATTTAAGTTAGTTACATGATATTTTTTTTTTCTCGTGCAATACATACAACTATTTTAAGTCGTCATATATAGAAATATTCCATGTTTTTTCTCTTAAGGCTTCCTATTAATATAAAGTTGACTTGTAGATATGAAATAAACTTTGGTTGGATAAAACCAAAAAAAATTAAACTCTACATCTTGTACATGTGTGTTTGTTGCTTGCAAGTTGGAAAGAAAAGGTTTAAATGTGAAGGCAAGCAACCATGTGCCCGTTTATGATACATGACATTTTGTTACAAAGAAAGGAGAATACTCAAGTAAACTAATTCCAATCGGCCACAACTTCTTCACGGTGACTTTCCTTCATCTTCAAATAAGGTACGCACGAGTGCAATTATTTGCAAGTCTTGGTAAGACAGAGAGTTTTAAAATCGACTTGAGCATTTGGAAAGATTGAAAAGGTCAGTCGATTTGACACAAAAAAAAAATTACTTGTTTAGGGCTGTATTAGTTTAAAGTTTTAAACTTTAAATTCTCATAGTGACTTCCATTACTATTGAATCGTAAGTTGTTTGATAAATATTTTTTGAAAACTGATTCTTCGAAAAGTACTTTAAAAAAAATGTGGTTAAAAAAGGGTTCTGAAATTAAACCCTTTTATTTCTTGTTTTGGAGAATATATTGTGAAAAATGAGAGTGAAAGAATCAAAATCAAATACGAGCTTATATATGTGTGCAATTGATGCAACATGGAAAGTCTATTCTAGGCATGGAAAATTAAATTAATTATGGTTTAGGTTATATTTCTTATTTTCAAATTATTTTTAAGACAAATTAGTCTTTATTTGGTGATGATCAAAATTAATTTTATTAATAAATTTTTTATTTTGATAAAAGTTGATGAAATGTGTGGTTGAAAATTTGTAAGTCTCATAGAATATGTGATCAAAATTAATTATTAACTTTAACTTAAATTATAATCTAAATTTTAACTCTACCAAACAAGGACTTGATTTGTTTCCTTATAAAGGAAATCCTAATTTTCCTTATATATTCTAATTTAGGCTTCGACGTGCTCTCTCTCTCTCTCTCTCTCTCTCTCTCTCTCTCTCTCTCTCTACATATATAACAAGACACATTTTTATCATTGAGATACAATTGCAAGTCTCTCCACTCTCTTTCATCTCTCTCGACCTTTTGTTCTTTAATTTACTTGTCGATAATGCCGTACGTTCGTCATCAATAATATTGACCGGTTATGGTGGGTGGAGTGGGAGCTGAAACAAACACCAAGAAGATAGGGATGGAAACTGCAGTCAACGGCTTCAGCCTGCATTGTCATTTCAACATCAACGCCCAATAAAAAAAAAGGCTTGAATGGCATTTTAAAAAAATGTTGAACCCCAACTTTGAGGGTTCCCATCGCTTCATTTCTAGAGTATCATGAGAGAGGTAAATTATGGAATGTACCCTTACAGGCCAAGGAAAAAGAACTTACCCATACACTGGTGCCCACAAAAAGTCAAATTTCATATCTCAGGAATCGACCCCTCACACTGCGGCTGCCAGCAAAATTGAGACTGTTTGAATGACTTTTTGGTTATATAATAAATTGACACAAGAATACAGAAAATAAGATTAAGCCTCGTTTGCCTACCCTTATTTGTTGAAAATGAGTTTTTAAATTGTAAATTTTTGTAGAATGTATGGTTAAAAATTAAGAAAAAAATTTGGATTCATATGTAAAATATTTTATTGAGAGAATGTGTAATTAAAAATAAGTGTGAAATTTTTTTTTTTTTTTTGAAATAATGGTAGACAAAGGATAAGAGACTTTTTATCATTTTTACAAACTTATGAGATATGTCAAGCAACAACAGCACATATTTTGGCTCTTAAATTTCCTTGGGCAAAAAGAACCGGCCCCAGCTGCATTCAATTCTCCTTAAGAGACTCAACAAAGCAATAAGGGTGCCACTGCCACTTCCACCAACAATTCCAGTTGTGACAGACAAACCCTACCCTTCCTCATGTAAAAGAAAAATATTATGTGGCCCCCAGAGGCACAACTCAACTGGTGGATCAATCAACATTTGTCTTGCTTCCAGCGACAGGGTGGAGGTTCGAATCCTGGTGAGGACCTGCGACCAAATTTATTTGGTATAGAGCAATCATTTTGGAGGAGGATCTCTTCTGCACAGAAGTGTACAGGCGGTGGGGGGAACATGTGATCCAGTTGAGGCATAACCCGCGATTTACCCCCTCCAAGGTTCTAGGGGCAAGGGTCTTGAGGGTCCAGGATTTAGTCTAGTGTAAATTGAGATACCTGGATATCAACAAAATTCGTATATGAGAAGAATTTTTCTTCTTGGACAATTCCCTGTCCAAGTAGCACTCCTTTTACGAGAAACACATAATTATTATTTTCTCCCTCCGGATTGGAAGGAGCCAAATTATTCTTGATAGGCTAGTTTAACATATATATATATATATATATATATATATATATATATATTATGTGTATACAGAAGTAGCACGGGATCTTTTATAGTGAGACACTGGACAATTTTTTATTGAATGTTAGCAAAAAAGAATTCCAATAATACAGATGCTGTGCATCTATTTGTATAGGATTCCCTGTACAAACATATTAATCCTATGTAGAAACCTAAGTCACTCAAATATACCATTTGATTGATTTATTGTTGAGTGGAATTGATCTCCTGCTTCAGCGGCTAGAATAAAAATTTCTCGTGGCAAAATAACCTTTTATGGTTTTTCAAATTTATGATCATTTCAAAGAATAATTAAAGTTCTTTTACCACATAAGCACTTGGAATTTTTTTATCCTACCCATCGGAGGCGGGAGATTTGGTTAAGGTTAACTATTTTTGTATGAACACTTGGAATTTACCAAATTCAATAAAAATAAAGCACCGTAAGACTGCTCGACTACTGCAAAATGTGGGATCGAGCTTGATGACCACGGTCGATTGCATTTTGATGCCTAATTCGGGCATATATGTTTCTCAACAAGTGCTTGAAATGAATGTGATTGACTAATTATCAAGCTAATAAATAATAACAAAGAAAAAGGAGAAAGGATTTGATGATCATCTCATATAATATCACATATAGTCCTCCCATTCGATGTAACAACTTATTAGGAAACATGGGCCAAACAAAATTTATACAAAGTCAGGAAAAAACACTTGAAAACAACATTACAATATATTATCATTAGTTTTTATTTATTTTTTTTTTTTTTCATCACATTACATCCTTGAGAAGCTTGTACCTGCGTGTGGCAGTCCGGGGCGAAGGCGTACTAGTCGGGCTCTTTCCGACCTTCTCCGTTCTCTCTTCCCGATCGTGCTTGATTTTGCCGCTCGAGTACGCTGATCGTACCTCATCTGTACGCATAGATTTGCTTGAAGAATTTCCGTGCTTCGAATTTCTTCCCTCGCTTTGACACCAGTCGCAAACTTCAATAGGGTCAGCCAATTCTCTGTAATAGTTGCTGCAATACCTGCAAAATTTAGAAAAAAAATGGCATAAAAAACACAAGGGCTATCGAAAGAAATCACATGGTATGATATATAGGTTGTTCCCTCTGACCAATATGAACATGGGTGGCAGTCGCCCCTGGCGGCGGTGATGCTGGTGGCTTAGAAGATTGCGTTGGTCGGTGGGGGAAGGGGGATCATGCTTCGCTTCCATTTATGATCCCAAAACTATGAAATTCAACATTGGGGTGTGTGCCAGTGAACTTGAACATCATCGTAAGTTTGCATGAAAATTACAGTACCCGCACTCGCTATCACACACACAAACTTGTATGTATATTTGAAGAGATACACTTAATAATTTGAGAACGGAGGAGTGACGGTGCGTACGAGTGCTGGAAGCGGTTGCGGCAGTTGATGCAGCGGAAGAGCTTGTCGGGAAAGCCCACATCTCCGCACATACAACACACAGTCTGCTGATCCACCATTGTTGAACACCTTCAGTTATAATTTGTCAAGAAAATCACAGCAAAGACTGAATAAGAAGTGTAGAAAAAAAAGTAGGCAGAAACTTGGAAGGATATGAAGAGAACAGTTATGGTCCAGGTTCAAGTCCAAGTCCGTGTGCGCATCTCATTTATACAGATAAATTTATAATTTCTCCTTATTATATTAATGAGTTTTCCAATTATACAACTGAATATTTAAAATAATAAATTAATGAAAGTAATGCTTTTTGTGGGGCCCGTCTAATTTTAATTCGAAACGAAAACCTAGTCGGCAACTTGCAAAAAATTGCATATGAATTAATTTCAACGAGAGTCACTAAAGTTTGTTATAAATTTCAAAGAATTATGCTACTCTTACAACCTTGATTAACAATCTTGGTTGACAATTTCACAATTGAAGCATCACATTCATTCATTTTAAAAATTGCTTTTTAAATCAACAATTCAAATTTTGATAACACCTAAGCTGTCAATAAGATTCGCACAAATATCTTAATTGAATTTCAAAATGGTTATGAAAGTGGAGCTTAGACATGCACCAGTTCTCTTATAGAAACAGTCTCTAAAGTTTGTGAAAATGATTAAGAGGTTGTAAACTCTTCACCTCTAATGTTAACACCCTGACTAAACCAAAAATTGTCTTTTGCAATATTCGAAAAATATTGTCATAGACCTTTCGTAGCATTTGGGCATATGTAGGGTAGAAGGACACATCGAAGTTTTCTAAACGTTGCAAATAACTTTTTTGCAGCGCTTGATGTGTTTTTATACACTTATTTAGTTCACAAACATGACTTAATCATAAGCAAAATGGTTGAATTGTGGCTTAATTTCGTTGAATTTGTGTATTGCGAGGTATATTGGTGGATATGGTGGAATTCACGAGAAAAAACTCGAAAAAAGACCAAAATGAAGGAAATCGAAAGTTTAAGGAGCAAGATTCAAATTGCCAAAAGATATCGAGAAGCATAAACAAAGAAGTGAAAGAGTTAAAAGGTCAATTTTGATGAGAACATGGAGTATTGGAAAAAGAAGAAATGAAAAGAAAGGTTCAAAATGAGAAATTGGAGTTCAAGGACTAAATTGTAACTTTTGGAAAGTTTTTAATACAATGCAGTCGCATAGTACAAAAATCCATGTAGTCGCATACCTATGTTCAGATATTTTCAGGACCAAAATCAATTGAACAATGCAGTCGCATAGAATTGTACTTGCAGTTGCATAGTACAAATCTAGCAAAAAAAATCTGGTTTCCTAATTTGATTACAATTTTTATGGAACAACTCAAAAGACCTACATAAAAACCTTAGGGCCGTAGATTTTGACAGATAACGCATTAGAAAGAAAAGAAACACCTCTTGGAGCGAATTTGGAGCCACAACAACGAAGGATTTCACGGAGATCAAAGGAATTTCACTTGATTTATTGATCCGGTGATGTTATTTCTTTCAAATATCACGTGTTTTGTTACTTTCTCCATGTTAGGCTAGGAAATTCTATATAGGAGATCGATGAACCTCGTAATGTGAAATTTAATTCTTTATTCTGTATTTTGGACATTCAAACATGTATTGATTATTTTAAATTATTTATATGCATTTAATTACTTCCATGATTATGGGCCAGTAGTTGTGTGAGTTTTGGTGGTTTGTTTCATCTATTAAAAAGAAAAGGAATAAATTCGACAAGGTATAAATTATCGTATGGTCTGACAGGAGATAGAAATACCTATGCTTTTAGTTTATTATGTCTGTTTACATAGGCGGATCCAGGGACGGCTCAAATGTCCATTAAAAAAAATTTAAGTAATTTTTTTTTTTATGTGCAATATATATATATTTTTATACATGTTAGCCCGTGTTGAATTTTTTCATGGATCCGCCACTGTCTGTTTAAACTTTTATTTCATTTCTACATTGAGGACAATGTATTATCTAAGTTTGGGGGTGGGTGACAAAATCTTGGACACGAATATTTTTTCATCACTTTGTTTATATTCATCAATATCTATGTTTCATGACTACATATTATGTGCTTGATAAGTATTAAAAAAAAACTTGCATTTTATTCAGTTTGCTGTATTTTCGTTCTTGCATGCGTTTGATAGCCTTGCCGACTATGATGTGATTATTGGATTGGTATAATTTACAAACTATACACATGGTGCTGAATAAATTAACCAATACTTGTTGATGTAATACTTGACATTCTATATGCAAGCCACTCATGCTCGACATGTTAGATTAGCGATTGGGGTTTTGAACATAAAGTAGAATAAGAATGATAACCCTTTACTAGATCAGATAGTAAGCCACATTGAGATGATTGAGCCATCATAAGAGGGCATTGAGATAAGTGGAGGCTCCATGCATGAATTTTATTGTGTGGATTGTCTAGACTAGTGAGATGAAGATTAGGTGAAAATCTTAAATTAGGAGTTGGTTTTGGAGGCCAATTGTCTAGAAAAAATAATAAAGGGCATCAATCTAACTTGTGAAAACATGACACATTTTTCCATGCCTTTATGACTCGAGCAAGTAAGCTTGGAAGGATATTTCAAAATTTGGTGCCCTAAAACCAATTGGTTTGGGAGTCATCGGCCCAAAACTCGTTACATGGGTCATATAAAAAGCAAGAGGGAAAGAGATGAATAAAAAAGTCATCTGATAGAGCCTTTATAACTTGAGTGAATAAGACTGCAAGGGTTTCAAACTTGGTGCACTAACGCCAACTGGTTTAGGAGTCATCGGTTTAAAGCTGGCTACATGGATTATATAGAAAGCAAATGAGAAGATCACTAAAAAAAACAAAAAAAAAAACAAAACAAAACTCATCAGAAAATAATTGAGAAAAGACACGAGCTACAGGGATTATATAGAAAGCAAATGAGAGATGACGTTAAAAAAAAACTCATCAGAAAATAATTGAGAATAAGACATGATAACATCAAGAGGTCCTTGGACATTTGGTTGAAGAAACTATACCTTTGAGGTGAGCCTAATAACTTAGTTTAATCTTAAGTGCTGAAGCAATCAAATCTGGGAGAACCTTCATTTGTTGACATGTGAACTTGTGATAGTAAGATCCATATAAACTAAAAGAGGGTAAGGAAATACAACCTCGGAATAATTGAGTGAAAAGAAAGAGTTTGGGGGGTTGTATACCTCTCGAGTGAAGTAAGGACATGTCAGGTATGCAATTAACAGGTAAATGTTGATTTCATTCTTGCACTAATCAATTTTTTATGAGGTTGAATACTTAGTCTAATCTTGAGACACGGCAAGTTATTAAGCCATGTTTGTTAGTATTATATAGTTCAAATTTGGGGGTTTGATAAGTATATTTTTAAACACTTATTTAGTTCACAAACCTGACTTAATTATAAGCAAAGTGCTTGAATTGTGGCTTAATTTCGTTGAATTTGTGTATTATAGGGTATATTGATGGATATGGTGAAATTCACGAGAAAAGAATCGAAAAGGGACCAAAATGAAGGCAGGGATCAAGACGCAAATTACCAAAAGATATTGGGAAGCATAAACAAGGAAGTGAAAGCGTTCAAAGATCAATTTGGTGAGAACATGGAGTATTGAAAAAAGAAGAAATGAAAAGAAAGGTTAAACATGGGAAATTGGAGTTCAAGGACTAAATTGTAACTTTTGGAAATTTTTTAATACTATGCAGTCGCATAGTACAAAAGTCCATGCAGTCGCATACGTATGTTCAAAGATTTTTAGGACCAAAATCAATTGAACTATGTAGTCCCATAGAATTGTACTATGCAGGCGCATAGTACAAATTCGGCGGGAAAAATCTGGTTTTCTTATTTGATTACAATTCTTATGGAAACAACTCGGGGGACCTAAATAAAAACCCTAGGGCTGTAGATTTCAATAGAGAACGCATTGGGAAGAAAAGAAACATCTTTTGGAGCGACTTTAGAGTCACAACAACGAAGGATTTCACGGAGATCAAAAGAATTTCACTTGATTTATTGATCCGGTAATGTTATTTCTTCCAAATATCACTTGTTTTGTTACTTTCTTCATGTGAAGCTAGGAAAATCTATATTAGGAGATCGATGAACCTTGTAATGTAATATTTAATTCTTTATTTCGTATTTTTTACGTTAAAACACGTATTGATTATTTTGAATTATTTATATGCATTTAATTGCTTCCATGATTATGGGCCAGTAGTTGTGTGAGTTTTGGTTGATTGTTCCATCTATTCGAAATAAGAGGAATAAATTCGACAAGGCATAAATCATCGTATGGTTCGATATGGGATATAAATATACCCCTATGCTTTGCGTGAATCTCTAAGTGCTCATAAATCTACATGCATTATCATATATTTGCATCCGTAATGGAGATATAGGCTGGTGGTATATGAAAATAGGTCCAGTTCATCTCGAGAGAGAGTGTTGGATAGATTTAGGAGTATTGATTCTTCAAAATTTCATCGTGCTGTCAAAGTGTGGAATTAAGGTTAAATAAAACACTACTTGGGAATTCGTGATCCTAGTATATCTCACATTCATTAAATACATTTAACTTATGTCCCAAATATCAAATTGCATTCTAGTTAATTTAAACGTTGGTTTGCATATCATACCATTCAATTCATAATATTGGTACTTTAGCTTAAATTTAGTATTTCTTTGGTACTTTAGCTTAAATTTAGTATTTCTTAGGACAAAAATTCATAATTGATCATTTAGATTAGGTTAAGATCGAGATAAATACTATTGAACTACTTAATCTCTGTGGGACGATATTCGAAATCTAAAAATCAATTTTATACTTGTTAACGAACCGTATAATTACGGTGATTTAAATCGAAAGAAAATATTTCGTGAACAACGCTCTTTGAACGATAATAATAACATTTTTACAACGTTCATAAAATATTGCGAATAACTTTTCACAGTGTTCTTTGAATGTTGCAAATAACCTTTTTACAACGTTCATTGAATGTTACGAATGATCTTTTTGCAGCATTTCTTGAACGTTGCTAATAACTTTTTTGCAACGTTTTATGAATATTGCTAATGAACTTTTTTTTCAATGTTTTTTGCTTGTTGCCTATACTTAAATACTTAGTTTTTGAAAT